ACTACATAAATAAAGCATCTGTGGAACTCATTGCCACAATCCAGCTTTGAGGTCAAAAGATTAGTAACATCTGAAAAAAAAAAAGATTAAGCATGCATATGCATAATATGAACAGCCTAATCTGCATAACAGTGTAAGGTGGTTTTGATCTATAAAACATTAAAGAACGGTGGACCTGCCTTCTTGAGGGGCCACCCCATAGCCCCTTGTAATGCTAGCTAGCTGCCATCAGCATAAGCCCTCGAACTGGAAGAAAACCACAGTGAGATCCCTGAAATTTGGAGCTCTTTCCCAAAACAGCCTGGCAGGAATACAGTGCTTATCAATTCTCCCTACTTTTTGCCTTATTTTTGTATTATGCAAGCTATTTTTCAAAATGACTCTGCACCAGAAGCTACAGACTGGGTGCGCCTACGTGTGTGCATTTTTACTGACTGTAACCAAAATTGCTGTGCAGTACAGGCACACATCTACACATGCACACCTGTACTGTGCAGTAAATATGGTGACTTATGCTGACTTGGGTGTAAATTTGATACCTGCATCATGCAGGTATCCAATTTATGCCCGATTAGTTACTGCGCAGTAACACATGTGTAAACACCATACTGCAGAGTAGCACTGTGTGTGTGGATTGACTTGGGACTAACATGAGTCCCAAGTCAATCCACACACAGCATTAATGCGCTTTAATTCTTGTGCATGTATACGCCAGCCTATTCCCGCTTACTGTGCAATAACTTTAAGCTGGCGTAAATGCACGTGTAGACATGCCCTCTGGGTCCTTTCATAAATTAAAGCAAATTAACTTTAAAATAAATGAATGATTTAAATAAAATATGAATATTTAAGTAAATATGTTATGTGTTGCTTCATCAAGGCACTGAAATAGCATCTATGGGATGAAATACAATGGAATGAAAATTCCCATCTCTGCCAGTGACTTGATTTGCAATCTTGTAATAAAGTCCATAGGCCAATGTTATAAGAGAAAAATATGTAGTAATTGTTGACACTTAAAAATGAATGAGTACATAGCTACTGGTCAATAAGAAGTGTTCGACCTTAACTGGAAATACACCTCAGTTTGCTCAGAAATAAAATAAGCCTTATGTTCAAAGAACTATTGGAAACTGCCAATTCATTAATGCTAATAAGCATTTGCAACTAACTCCTTTAATACAAAGTTGAGCCAAGTCTCCATATTAAAAGACCCCCTCACAAGTTTGGGAAAAAAATTTAGATCACCATTTGGATTCAGATCTAAACCTTGTAGGTTGACAACCTAGTCAATTATTAGACGTCAAAATATTTCTCGATTAAAATATTTGTAAAGTTTTAATAAGGGTTCTTGTGTCTTTATGATTCTCTCCTCCCCCCACCCATACTATCTCCAGCCCGCCTCCCTCTTTTTTTTTTTAACAGGTGCCAATCTAGCCTGTAAAAAGTAAGTGTCTTTTTGTTTTATCACCGTTAAACCATTATGGCCGAGATTCCAGCTGGATTTCAGTCTTTTCACTTTTTCCTTAAATTCCTGCTATCACTTTATTGCTCTGTTAAAGGCCTATATCTGATTTCTCCTAGAAAGACTCCATTAGCTCCCAAAGAAAAGCTGTCTTATCAGAAGAAGCAGGTAGTTAGGCTCACGAGTTGCCGCTGGATTCCACACCCAACAAACTCGCCCTTAAAAAGTTTCGACTTAAAATATGACAAAAGAAACCAAACGCAGAAGCTCTCTAGAGTGAAAATGTGCAAGAAGGGAAATGCTTTCAGAATTCGCTCTACTCTTTCTCTTTATTTCAGCTTGACGTTATTCCGTTCATCTGCATTATGTTAACGTGCTTTTGAATGCAATGGGATTTTCAGACTAGCCAGCTTACAGGAAGCAGGTGCCAAAGAGATTTGAGGGCCTGATCACTTTAGACTCATTTAAAAACCCCAGCCTTTGGCTGCTATACATTTTTTTGAAGTTTGATTTAACAAAATTTTGGAGCTGAATGAAAGTCTGAGGGGCAGGGGATACTGTTCTGGGATATTTTTCCCAGCTAGATCTAACACTGAAAAACCATTTTCTGTGCAATGCAAACACAGAGGATGTATTGGGATGCTGATTTTGCTCCATCCTATTTCTTCCCACAAATATTCGCAGTATGCTTGGTAGTATTTGCTTTTTTACCCACTTGAAGCAGTTCTGACCCAGGTTCTGAACAACAACACGAGCCTCTTAGATTTATTATATTGGCCTTCTCAAGTTTGGGAAGTTTAAACTTGGCTCACATTTTCAAGTCTTTCTCTACAAATATGAAAGTTAGAACGTCCCTCTGCCACCTCCCTCCCCCCTTTTTTTTAAAGAGAAGTTGATATTCTCATAGAATGACATGATGCAGTCATGGGGTTTCAAGAAAAATGCTGAATATTATAAGTCTTGTGGTAAAAGCATGACAGTTGGCAATACTGTTATCAGACAGTTAGACATCTATAAAATGCATCTACAAAATTACATCCAAAGAACTGACTCCACAGCTATTTGTGGTTGCAACAGTTCTAGTGCAGCATCTGAGGCCAAGTTGAGGCCAATCTAAAAGTCCAGGGTATTGAATGTTCCTGGTTGATGCTGAAATAAGCAGTTGTATCATCAGCTGTACAGAGATTAATTATTTTGTAAGCTTTGGAGCATCCTTGAATAGAAAATAATAAAACCAATATATTCACTTAAAGAGATGGCACTCCAATGCCCGCATGATCTTCAGTAACCTTCGAAGCACAAGTACAGAAATCCCTCAGTGGAAAGTGACTTGTGGGGTCAAGGCCATAAAACTATAGAGCTTTACAAAGATAAGATCAAATACCGGTGTCCTTTCCTAATCTTTACCAATGTGAAAATCTCCCCTGATTTCACTGGCAGTTTCTCTGAACAAGGGAATCAGGATCTGGCCTATTTAGGAGTTCAGACTTTGTGAATGCTAGGCAAGGGACACTTAATGAATTAACGTCCCAAACAAAACTGCGAAACAAAGCAAAACAGCTCCAGGTTACACTTCTTAAATAAGTCTGATATTTAATAGAAGAGTAAACGCCTTTTTCCTAGATGAAGGGTATTCTTTCCCCATTTTGTCCGATGCATAGAAACTCATCGGGATAGCTGCAATTCCACAGAATTTAAACAACTCCACCCCAAACCTCAAAAGAAAAGGTAGAATGATGGGTTTTTTTCATTCCATTTCAGGGATAAAAAAGGTGTTTTGAGGAGTAAAGAGATTTTGGTAAACCGGTGGTGATCATGGCCAACCTTCTGACTTTCTGGGCTGGATAAGTGGCACAGGGCCAGGCTACACGCCAGATCCCCTGGGCTGGATTCAGTGTGGGGTAGGCATGAGGGGTCAGTCCCTGGATGCAATCTGGTGTGCCAGCCCAGTCCCATGTGCCGGATTAAGTCATGGGCCCAACCCAGCATGCCAATGCAAGCTAGCCATGGGGCTGTGTCATCCAGTCCACAGAGCTCCCCACAGGGCCATAAACTTGGCAGTCGGAGAGAGGTGGCATTGTTAATTATCATGTCAATTAATGCTGCCGCTGCTCCCCAGCCACCAGACTTTTGGCCCCAGGAGGAGCCCAAGGGCTGGGTGACAGGAGCCCCACGTCCCAGATTCGGCCCATGAGCCAGAGGTTGAGCAGTGCGCCACTGCGCTAAACTACTTCTTCTTCTACTGAAATTAATATTTCAATGAATATCAGCCCAGGCCTTTAGAGTCCTACAAAAGGAAAAGAAAAGCAGATGCTTTGTATCTTTGTATTGCATTTTTCAAAATATCTCTTCATTAAAAATCCTTTGAAAAGCACCGTGTAACTTATTCTGAAAGAATGCATCCTGAAGGGTTTGCAGAGGTTTTCGACTTATCAGTCATGGTAAATCATATACCAAGAAGTTCTGAGCACCTACAATTTCAGTAGAAAACCCACTGGAATTAGTAGCGTAAATAGGAGCTGCTCTCCTGAGTCGGAGGACCAGGCACCCCATCCTTGCACAGGTTCAGTATCCAATAAAGTCAACGGGAGTTTTGTCCAGGGGCTGAGTAAGAACCCATTGTGAGCATCAGAGCAGTCAAGGGATCTGATTTGTGAATTAAAGCCAAAGTTTGCTGCAAATGATGAGCACGTGAAAATCAGGCCTTGCAGCTTCTATGGTGGTTGGAGGAATCGGATGCTAGCATGCACCGCTCAAAAACGAGCCAGATGCTGATCCTAATTATTATGATGTCAGTCTGGAGTATAACACCATTGATTACAAATCACCAAGACGACAAGCTGGGGGAAGGTGGCATGAAAACGTTTTTATCTGTCCTATTTCATCATTCATGTGGTAACCCAGGCTAAAAAATTGCCTCTAATTATTGCAATGTATTTGTGGTAAACATCTCAAACTTTCCCCACCCTTGTCCTATATGCTTTTTGTACTTTCTGAGGGTTGTTACACGTATTGTACCATATAAAACCATAGCTCTGTTGAAATATTGAATGAAAAACCCAGGGAGTTGAGGGTGTTTCTTTCCGTCTTGTGAATGCCCATACGTTTTTCCTTTTTTTGTTTTGTTTTTTTTCTTAACATTAAATAAGCTACATAAAATGACGATGCCGTAAAACACAGGAGGGAAAGATGAGTTAAGGAAATGCTCTTAAACATAAGCATATGAGATAATGAAATGAGCTACTGGGATAAGCATATTTATTGGGTTTGTTATGTATCAAATGTAACAAAAGTAAAGTGTCTGAACAACTCCATGTGTGGTTCTTTCACACTCTTTGATCACACAATTCCGCCTTTAATTCAGATGCAGTAGAGCTTAAGTGGCTTCATTGATGTGTTAAGTGTGGAATGATTTTTGTATAAAATAAAAAAAGACCCCATTATGTGTCCAGAAAAGCCTTGTGTGCACTTGTTTATTGAGACAGGAAGTCGGTTTCCCACACCGAACAACTGTAGGGAAGAAAAGTAAAGGAAACTTAATTTTCTACCTGGCAGAAATCGGCCTCCAGAGGAAGAAGTAGACAATGAGATCGGGCTTAAACTGAATAATAGAGGCTGATTGATTTTTAAGAAAATGTTTCACACCATTTATATGGGGGTTCATGTGCTGTTTTTGTCAGTAAGACGCGGGGTTTTGAAATACATCTTTGTAGTCTGCCTTATGTCTAAGTGCTTCCTCCACTACTATGCACTCCAAAAATGAAGGCATTCAGAAGATAGGTTGCCAGGTGAAAATATAGGGTTAAACATTATATAGAAAGGGATATTTAGCAATATATTGGCTAATGCGAGGCTAAACTCTGTGAGCTCATTTTAAGAGTTTTTGTATTCGAGGTGATCGGAGAGGAAATCAGTGCGAGGCCCTTGCAAACAAAAAACCTATGTTCTCAGCTGGTGGGATCAGGGCGTGACTCCTGCTTGTGATTTGGCCCTAGGCTTTCATGCAGCAACACGTGATCTTCTTTTATTCTTCTTCTCTTCACTTCCATATCATGTAAAGGTGCGAGAAAAAGATACAGCGGGTCAGAATGAGGATTTAGGATCAGAAAATAATGTTAATAAAAAATATACTGTTAACAATGAATATTCGCATATACACTGAGCTCCAGTATTGAGCAGGAAAAAATTATCTCCCCAAGGGATTCATAATAATTATTGGGAAATGTTTGTATTTTAGTTGTACCTGAAGGGACCCATCTAATATCGGGTTGCTTTGTTCTCAGCACTGCACACATACATGATAAACCTTGCACCAAAGGGTTTGCAGTCAAAATGGGGACTACAAAAGACAGAAGGGGAAACACCGGAGCCACTCTGTAAAGTGATTCGCCAAAGGTTATACGGCACATCAGTAGCGGAGCCGAGAACAAACATCACCATATGAAGGTTTAGTTGGTCTTTCATATAGGTAGATTGTACATTCCCTCCACCCCTCACCCCCACCCCTGGTAACCACGTCCAATCAGAAAGAAATCTGGTATTTTTTGTGAGAATCAACAAAACTAAATCCATCCGGCCATGAAAGGTCATGGAAGACTAAATTCTTGATTTCTTAATATGGTTGAGGGACACAACATCCTCCAAAGCATTTTTAGCCTGAATGGTAAACTCCTTGTGTTCTCGGTTTGTCTGCAAGCGTTAGGTCCTTCTGCTCTTCTGATCCTAGAAAAGATGAGTGGGACGCTGTAAAGGAATATGGCATATCTTAAGCAAGCATACCTGTCACTTGTTCTCAGCCCTTTTTTTTCCATCCCTCTGTTCCTCCTTCAGCATTTTTCAAACCCTATGAGACTCTTCTTCCTTTCAGCACTATCCCCACACGCCCTACACATTCCTTTGGTGTGCATTACACAATGGCCTTATCTCTTGCTCGCTCGCTCTCTCCCCCTAATTATGAAATGTGTGGTATGTGGCTACTGCATGTGAAGTGGAAGCCGTAACCAGGCAGGAGTCACGTGCCAGTTATTGTTTATTATTTCAGAGCCCATTTCATCTCCCCGGGAAAGTGATACCTGTTTCCAGCCCCAGTGGAAACCAGAATGGGTTTCTTTTTCTCTACCCATTGCCTTGTTTTTGTCAAGGGGGACCACCTTCTCTTCCTTGTGATCACCCACACCATGCTGAATAACCCTACAGGCCCGAGCTCCCGAGGCCTGGAACAGACTTACCCCCCAGAAGTGGTGCAAGCACCTACTCTGGACTCCTTTAAGAAACATTTGGACACCTATCTTGCTGGGATCCTTTGATCCCAGCTGACTTCCCGCCCCTGGGGCAGGGCCTGGACTCGATGATCTTCCCTTCCAGCCCTGATGTCTATGAACTCTATGAACCCTGCTCTTCTTTACCAGCCCTAATAAGAACAGTGCTATACAGGTAGGAATACAAAGGGCTAAATTCCCCTACTGACTGCAAAGACACCTTCGCAGAGATAACGTCAGCGACATCTGAGAGCAACAAGCACGTTGGAGAATCTGGTTCTTAAAGAGGCACGTGTTTCCCGAGCTGACGTTACCACATTCACGTACCGCTCCACAGAGGTGCACGGTCTACCTCCGACTCTGCTCATTTCAGTTTCTCTCTCAGTATCTGAAAAAGGTGGACGATCCGATGAATTTCCCTGAAATAAATGGGAATTGTGGCTGTCAGCAAGAGGCATTCTGTGGCTGGCAGGATCTGGTCCTTAAAGTGCGGCATTTGGCGTGGGGTTTCACTGTTCGTTATTGGCCTACCTTCGTTTCCAAGGAAGATGATTTCCATAGACTGTCCACCTGAATGATTTTGGAAATCCCGCTCATTACATGCTACTTCTGAGAGGGTTAATTCTAGAAACAGCCTGAAAGAAAAGAAATTGTAAACCTTCAGTCTTTTGCATTTTAGGCTCTAGTTCAAAAGATTATCAAAGCCAACCAGTATGCGTTCCCTGCATTTAGTGCCTACCCCTCTGCCCCCACTTTTGCCATTCTGTAGCTAAACAAGAACCGGGTTTTCTGATCTGAATCACAGTTCAGCTTGATACAGTGTGAAATGCCTGAGCTCTTAACCCTCTAAACCAGGTTTCCCAAGCTGTTTCTTATTGCGCGTACCCCCTTCCAGATTTACCAGCTGCCTTCATACCCCTCCCAGCATACGTTTTATATTTTAACCTCGTAAATGCCAATTATTATTATAATGAAAATTAAATCCACCATGACACAGTCTCCCAAATACCCCCCAGAGATGTCTTGTGTACCCCCAGGGGTACACATACCACACTTTGGGAACCCCTGCTATAAACTATGGGATTTTATCTAATGGAAATGCCAGTGGTCTTTAATTCAGGCATGGCAGAAGTTTGCCAGCCGCCAAACCAAGTACGACAAATAAAGGATATTGTTCCACATCTGCCCCTTTCTCAGAAATATCAGCATCCTGCAAGCACTACATGGCCTGTGCAAAGTGATGACCACAAGGTGAATATTAAACCTGTATTACCAGTGCATATGAAATACCATGCCATGAAATATCTGCTTCAGATGCCCTTGGTGCTACTTTCCCACATGTGAGCTAGGATAACATGGTTTAAGTTTGGGGTTTAAGTCACTTCTGAAAATTAAACTTGGGCTCCTAAATTACTGTAACTTCTGCCATTTGGTGCAGATGAGGCTTTCACCATCTACCATTGTACGAGCCATGCCTTAGACCGCACACCAGCACTAGTAGATAGTGCATTATGTTGCTAATTAAATTATCTCCATTATGTTGCTAATTAAAGGCGAGATTGTAGCCATGAGGAAGAGGGAGTCTTTCCCTTCCATTTTTGTCATGTTTCTCCCAGGAGCAAGTGAGGGGGCAATGGGCAAGGCTATGAGTATGGCATCCTGCGGGTGTATAGTGGTAGAGCCATAGCGTTACAAAGAGGATCCTTCCCTCCAGCAGAAAAACGGTGCTGGAGAGGAGCTGTTTCTCAGAGGGGTGTTTCTGAGACATAGTCCCTCCTGGAGGGGCATAATATATGCTCCACCTCTTGCTCATGGCACTGCCTGAAGGCAAAATCTCAGGCTCTGAAGCTTGTGCTCCCTTCCTTAAAAATAAGCCATAGTGGAATTTGCACTGAAGTTGATTAAAGCATCTTGGACTCCCATTGTGCGGCACATATATTGTCTGTCACGTGGAATGATACTGGCCATTGTAACATGAGCAAAGCCAAAGAAACTGGAAAATCAGGGGAAAGCCCTCTGTAGAAAATCCAAGTGGGGTTAAAAACCATTCCCGGTTTTTGCTATAAGTCTCAGAGAGCTATAGCCTGCTTGCTGGGGACAAAACAATGAAAAATACCATCACAAATAACAGGTATTATTTTCTTTTCACTTCTTTCCCTATTACAGTGAGTGATACCATGGGCCCAAATGCTTTTTCCTGGTATAAATGATAGGAAAATCAAACTCAACCTTAATTTGATGAAATACAGTGACAGAAGACAGGATGGGCTGAGATCAGTCAGTGCCTGAGCAACTGCAAGGAAACTGCGTGAGAGGAATGGATCCATCTGAAGATAATCTGGGGCACCCTAGCCTGTTCAAAAGTTTCTTCTGACACCACTTAGCACGATAAATTCGTCCCTCTGCAGTGACCAAGAAGCACAGTGGTTACGGTATTTAATGCTTTTATAGCCCCACAACACTGATACTTCAATAATTGTTCTTCATTTGACTTCCTGAATCCCAATGTAGAGAAGATCCCAATGTAGAGAAGATCCCAGTGCACTTGATTTCATCTTTGGCCCTCTCACTGTGCAAATCTGTGGTGAGAGTAAGTACACATTTGCTGTGGTGTAAAGATGAGGAAAAATGCCCCTGACATCCGTAAAAAATATACCTATGTAAAAATGGGGTAATGAAAAGCAAGAAAAAGCCTCAAATTTCCATTTAAACGTTCCAATTTAACATGGGAAAGGTGAGTTTCTTAGAGTGTTTTTTTTCCCCTTGCGTTTCAGAAAAATGCTATTGTGACCCTGGTCAAAACTTGTGCTTCACTTAGTAGGCCCAGAAAGTACCTGATCTCAGAGAAAACAAATGTTGAAGTCATCAGCTGCAAAGGATCCATTTAATTATGTCGTGGCATTTTTAAAACTGTCTGGTGATCTAATCGGTTCCTATTTTAATAGGAATTAGCCTACGATGTCTGTGAATGTGTGTCAGCCTGGAAATCCAGCACCCATATTCACGTCTCACCTCAAAAAGAAAAGGGAGCTGGGGGAGGGAGGAATAGGTTCAGTTGAACTTTGCCGTGTGTTTTCAATTAGTTTTAAGCCATGACTGTAAGTTAAAAAAATTCAAAGCAGCCTGATGGAATTAGAGCAAGTCAGATTTGGTTGAGGCTAAACGGTCTTTAATTTCATTTAAGACCAAATATGAATTTTAAAAAGCTCAGACAGTGTATCCCATTGGCAACTTGAACATCCCCAAAGTAACATGGGATGGAAATCAATGGATTTGGCCTTCAGGGCTCAGTCTGACAAGGCACCCTCTGTCTCCCCACTTCAGTGGGCACTGAAGATGGTCAGGACTTTGCATTATCAACCCCCAACTTTGAGGTCCATCATTCAGCGGTGTAAAACGTTTGACTTCTATTGACTTCAATGGGGTTCCTTCAGTTAACGACACCAGCTGAGGATGCGGCCCTGCGCGTGTGGAGAGCTAATATATCAATTTGCCTGATATTATGACAAAATCCATTTTACTTATCCTGTTAGGAAGCGTCAGACTGCTTTCCAACTGCACCCAACGATTACGAACTTTGGCTACTGCTATTAGCCCCTGCTCCAGTCTGCGCTATGCTAGTAAAATATGTTAGACTCAGTTGCAATGAAACACCTGTAAATCAAGGCAGACTTAATACCACGTCAGAGTTTTTCTGATAGACATATTGGTGTGGTCAAAGGATATTTAATCACACAGGAGAAAAAAATTGGATGGCCACCATTTTTTGGAAACATTTTATGATGAGCCCAGTTCGGGGTATGTTTTATGCATGGAGCTTTCCCTGAGCACGTGTGGGTCTGGCCTGTGCTCTGCTCATTTCACCTGCATTGCAGAAGCAAACCCATTAGAGAGAGAGGCATTTGTGGCGGTTACAGGGTTGCATCCTGAGTTTTTATGTTTTTCATACTATATGGTCAAATGCAGCCTACACATCTAGAAGCATCAGGGATGTATAAGGTTCGGTTGTTTCAGCCTGGAAGTTAATTTTCGTTGTTTCTCTCTGAGATCATTTACCCTCTGTGTTTCATTTCCTGTTTCAGGTTTGAGTTTGTATGAACCTAGCCCTCAAAGTGAAATGTCTCTGGTTTTGCTTGATTTGGAGTAAAAAAATTGTGCCAAATCATTGAGCTTTTTGGTAGTTTGAGGCTTTTTAAAAAAAATGTTTGCACATCTCTGTTTAATATGTACGGGGCGGGGGTTGGGGAAGGAGCAAGTCCCCCAGCTATTATAAGTCATCATTGCTCCACTGAGGTCACTGGAATAAGGTTTACATCAGTGGAGGATCTGTCCCACTTGGCCCACACTAATAGAGGACTAAGAGAATAAGGCAAATGAATTCCTGGTCTAACCAGGTTTTGAAGTAGGTTGTAAGATTGTGCCCAGTTTGGTTTGGGTTTGAAAATATTGAGATGTCAATTGTTTTGCCTTGGGTAAGCCAGGAAGTCTGTGGCTAGGCCATGAACCCCACCCTCCTTTTCTGCATTATGCGAGAGCAAATGGATCATAATGATTAGTTACCGATTTCTCTGCTCTCTGAACAGCTATGTCCCTGTGCCAGTCCCAATAGCTGCGATCCAGAATGAAGCCTTTCTCCTTTCTAAAGTTGGGCAAAACCCGCTCGCTTTCACAAATCTTTTTTTTTTTTTTTCCTGCAACAGCAATTCATTATTCTCCAGAAATAGCTGCAGCTGAACACCTGTTGTGCAGCCCAAGAGGCTATCAGCTGGCATTGCACAAGCAGAACTTATGTTTGCAGGACTGGACCAGAATCCTCCAGGTTTTTCACTAGAATTCTCCTTCTGTTTTACCAGACAAATAATCTGTTGCGACTCTTATTGCTTCTTATCTTTTACAGCTTGGACTTGTTCCCATGCACCATTTTGTTCTCAAAGATGCCTGAGCCGATTCCTCAGCGCTAGCCAAAACAAATGCGAATCTTGGCTGCCTGCGTGGTAGCAGCAGCTGGTTTGCTATGGCTCCCTCCACCTAGCACTGGGGCAGCTTTGACTTGAACAGATGAAGATTGCTTCCCCCCATGAGGAGACCAGGAAACACTGGGGAGCGGGCAAAACTGAAATGCTTTCACGTTATTTTGATGGGGCACGATATGCATTTGCTGCTAGTTGTTGTTTGTCGTATGTGTGCAGCTTGGATCCATCCCAGCCCTTATCTGCTGTATGACTTTGGGCAAGTCACATCACTTCTTTTTCTCCTTCTGCTACATCCAAATAAAATGAACATCACAGCTGGGGCTGTGTCTTGCTATGTGTATGTACAGCCTAATGCTACCGGTCCCTCATCTGTGTTGGGACCTGTAGGTATTGCTCCTGCAAATAAAAATGTACATTATCCTCTTTTTTTGTCCTTATGGCTTTCAGATGTTAATACATCAGGGTCCCTATGAGTCTTTTTAATTCTTAAAACTTAACATAATCATCTTTAGAAAAACAAAAGGGGGAGGTGGAGGGGAGATACAGGGGGAAATGAGCCGAACAACAGATCAGGTGCAGAAATTTCTGAGCTCTTGAAAAGTTCCCAGCTGGATTCAGTCTTGAATTGAACTTCCCAGCTTAAGTCTCTCTCTTGCAAGGTC